CCCTAGGTTATTTGTTTTTTCTAAGGTGATATGCAGCTTAATTCATAAGCGTTGGTTCTGATACCATGTGAGGATACGTGGAACCCTAGGTTATTCTCCAAAAGAGCCTTTTAATTAACCCCCCCCCCCCCCAAAAAAAAAAACATTAGAATCAAAATGCAGTGAATTAATTTTGAATATCATAAACATACTTCTGTTTTCGCTATTGCTACCAATTATAAACATCAAAACCACACTTATGCAAGAGACATGGACCATGTACCTGAGCAGTGATCATATGACAAACAAATGTCATCGGAAACTACTTGAAGCAAGCAGATCATGTTCTCTTTAGAAAACCATGTAGAAACCAAAGGGTCTTTGGCCTAACTGTATCCAACCCTTCTAGAGGTCAAGTGTTCCAATCTCACCAAAGGTGAGGCGTTACATGAGTTCTATTTTGCCGTATGTAAATATTATGTACTTCATATAAATTCAAAAGGAGATGTAGCAACAACAAAGTTTATTCTTACCAGACTTAGCAAAAATGCACCCAGTATAGATAAGAGCTTGCGCTTACTATCAATAGCATCTGCCATGCCTGCAAAGGATATGAACTTGGAATATAAAGAAGATACCAAGTGCACATATAGATGTAGTTTAAGATCTTAACAAGTTCAGGTGTAGCATATGCAATATGTGTGCATGCTAGAACACTTTATCACATCTTACACTATGCATTTTCTAAGCTACAAGGCTTAGTTTTCTTCAAATATGGGTTAATTATGTTGCTGGATAGATGTGATTTGAAACTCTATCTATTAGGAATACTACCCACACGAAAGAAGAAGTTTGGTATCTACCTTTTGCAACATTAAAAACCATCAACTCTTTGTTTTGATACATAATAGGGTCTCTGGTTTCACTTATATATAGAGTAGGAAAAATAACCTTTAACGGATTCACGGACAACCTGCCAAAAGAAAGAAAAAGAAGAAGAAAATTTAAACTTTTCATATACTCTTGAAACAATAAGAGATGTGATTCCTATATCTACTTGCAGTAGAAAGGAGAAACAGAAAATACAAATGCAAGGGGCAATCAGGATTTGTTCGAACATCAAAGATGACTGAAAATGTTTTTCCTAAGATCATTTAGCCTGTTCCATATCATATGGTATGAGCATAATCTTAAGAACATGACTTAATTTCCACTTCCTGGCTTCATTTTAGATATTATAACCTTGTCCTCTTAGTTTGAGAAACATCACGGTTTTACCACATCTTGAACATATATATAAATCCCTCGTATGTTCTATCAAGTTGGAGACCATAAGGCATAGTGTGTTCATATATCTTCTAATTACTTGATGGGAATAATGATAACCGAACATGTGAGATACGGACTTATAAACTTGTTGAAAGATCACACTTGTTTTGGAATAATGAAAGGAATAGTGAAATATATTGGTACAAAGAAAATATTGTCCAATGAGCTATTAGTTCGACATAGTAATCTCAGAAAACATTGTCCTACGTGTAATGAAATCATGAATCTAGATGCCGCTTCCTAATGTTGAAACTTCTCTCCACTTGATAGAGTACTTGGGTGACAATACATCATGAATTTGGACAAGAGGGAACTGAAAACGGGAATAAGGTATAAAACAATAATCGAAGTTAGTGGAATATTATTTTACAAAAATGTCCACCTCCTTACCTGCTATACTAAATCTGCAGGGACGAGTTGTTGATTATTAGAGCAAACAAAATATCTAATTAGTTTTCAAAAAATAGGAAATGTATTGTAATAAATTCTAGATTCTTTAGAGATAGTTTCCTACTTTAGGCGATCTTGTTAATGTGTATTACTTTCTTGTTTGAGAATTCTTGTCGTAGACACCAAAATAAAGCTTTTGAAAGTAGATTATGCTAAATAGGAACCATAACAAAATACATTCGAACAAGGGTGTTACCTTTCCCAAAATCAGAGGTATCAAAAGTGTGACAAGAAGGCTTCGAAACAGCGAACCAGCTGGAACAGATGCACCCACTCCACCACCAACTAGTTTTGATATAGAAAAGGGAACCTACAAAACTGCAGTTGCTGATTATAATGTACAATATTGAATTGAATCCACAATATATACATGAGGTGAGTGCTCTAAATAATTCATTGTAGTAAATACTTGCTAAATAAGAGGGTTCTCCTGAAGAAAGCACTGAAACGCAGCTACAATATACAAACTTCTGGGTTTATGCAGTTTTTGTCTACAGATGCTAAATAAGAGGGTTCCGAATTAAGGATTTTATCTACAATCTGCTCTAGCTTAAATATAGACATGTTCAGAGGAGCTTCTAAAATAAACGACATCATAGTCTAGCATGAAAATAAACATGCTCTAGCACAAAAATAACCGATTTCAATACTCGAGCTTCTAATTTTAACTTGTGCAGAGGAGCTAGTAATTTGAAGGTAAATAATAACTGCTTTCACCGTCTGAGGCATCATTGCTTATTCTTCAGGGCTAACCAGGGATGAATGAAGAATATGAATAAGCATCACACCATCCATTGAAAATTTGATGTGCCAAAAGAAATGATGGGAAAAACGAAGCCACTAACGGTAAACAATAAGTGCGGAATTAACCTTCGTTAGGCTAAACTTTCCCGACCCGAATGAACCTTTGAGGATGCAAACAAATAGGGTATTTTCAATGCAAAGAAAAACAGCCCCCAAGACGTAAAATAACAACCACAATGAGACACGAAATTTTAGCGTGGAAAACCCCTCAAAACGAGAGTAAAAACCACGGGACTACTAGAGCCGCTTTGAATCCACTACCACCAATATTAGAGCAATACAAAGTCTTCTCTAGATTATACTAGAGGCATACAAAACCATCATACTCCTGGAAATATGCACATCAAGATGTATGGAACCAAAAAAATAGGCAAAAGAGAGAATGTCACCACAAAAACGCTGCTGTGAAGAACCCTCAGAGAACCTGACCTCCAGACCTCAAAAACACGATCCAACCGTCCAGAATGTTGGCTCAGATGTTGTGAAGACACTGACCAAAAATGACGACGATCCGACCGTTCAATCTCCGGGAAACAGAGTGTTTCTGCTACTGTGTTAAAAATGACGAAAATAAGGGAGCTCTCACCTTTCTTCTCTTTTTCCCTCTGTTTTGGCTGCACRACTTAGAATTTTAAAAATAGGGATGGAGAGATCTATATATATGTGGGCCATAACATGTATGGGCCTTCCTCATGGGCTAAAACCATAAAAAAA